CTTAATAACTTGGTTAAAAGCTTAATTCGTTGTGTAAAAAATTAATTATAGAGTGAAACACAAGCATTGAGGCCCGCAAAGCAAGATCATGCAATATGGCCTATGGATTTGATCAATGTTCTTCAAAATACTGTCTTCGACTTGATTCATTCTACAAAGATCTTGAATCTTTGTAGAACTTTGATCTTTTTCTTTACTCTGGTCGAATACTTATTCCTTTCGTTTTGATCACATAGATCCACAACTTTCGACCAAATTCATCAATAGACAAAATAAAATTTGTTTCCACCAATTGTATGTTCTTCGAATGGACCACATTCATCTGAATGTACCACTTACTTCATCCTTTCATTTTGATCACTTAGATCAATAACCTTTGACCAAACTCACCAACAGACAAAACAATATTTGTTTCCACCAATTGTATGTTCTTCAAATGGACCATATTCATCTGAATGTACCACCTTGAGTATGCAAGGTGATTTCATTGGCATAGTCAAAACAAAGAATTTATGGATTGCTTTCCTACTAAACAAACTTCACACAGTTTTTCCAAGCATCTCAAGACTTGGAAAACCATATCTTGAGTAATCAGTTGATTAAGTGGTCAAAAGTTCAAATGTCCAAACTTCAAATGCTACAACCAACTATCCTTATGGTCGAACAATTTTCAAACATTGAACTTCTGTCGAATTGATCATTGTCTTGTAATGAACTATTATCAGTAATTTTTTTTTGTTAAATTGTAATCCATAGTGTCGAAACTCTGTGTGTCAAAGGGTTTAGAGGTGGATCGAAGAAGGTTGCTCGAAGGAAGCCATTTCCTAGTCGAAGCTTGTGGGTCGAAGCAAGCATGAAGATAGACTTGTAATTCATAGTGTCGAAACTATGTGTGTCGAAGGGTTTAGTATGTGGATTGAAGCAGGTTTAGAGGTGGATCGAAGCGGTTGCTCAAAGGAAACCATTGCCCATTGAAGCTTGTGGATCGAAGAAAGCTTGCTCTTCTTTGATTTGTCAAAATCTGCCTACACTCCTTTTCGACCAGTCATGTGGTTCGAACAGCCTGGACCAGATTTTGAATTTGAACTGTTATCTGTAGCTGCACACCTTTTTTTAATCTGCTTTTCCCTTTCGACAGTTTCTTCTTCCTCCTTTCGAGGATTTAGAAGTTCCATCTTCGACCTGATGCTTGAGAGCCCAATGTGATCCATGGAAACTATATGGGGCATTAAAAGTCCAATTGTACTTATCCAAACCCAAACCTTAATTTGAGCCCAATATTGAGGAAGTGTCTTGAGCTGATCAAACCTTATGAAATTTTGAGCAATGAAGATTTTTTGTGAGAGAATCTTTGAGAAATTGAGAGGGAAAATTTTGGAGTACAATAGTTTGCAATTTGACAAAATCCATTTATGGACTAAAGTAGGCGTCTCGTCAGTGGTACCACAAGTTTCATGAAGTAATTATCTCATTTGTTTTTTAGGTGAATGTCGTTAAAGATTATGTGTATCACAAATTCAGTGGGAGCAAGTACATTTTTCTTGTCTTGTATGTCGATGACATACTACTTGCCGTTAATGATATAGGCATGATGCACGAAACCAAGAAATTTATGTCAAGAAATTCGAAACGAAAGATCTTGGTGACGCCTCCTTTGTATTAAGAATTTAGATACACCGAGACTGATCTTGGGGTCTTATAGGATTATTACAAAGAAGCTATATTGAAAAAGTACTTAAAAGGTTTGGCATGCAGGAACGTAAACCAGGGGATGCCCCAATTGCTGAGGGAGACAAATTTAGTCTTAATCAATGCCCAAAAGGAAATTTAGAAGTTTAGGAAATGAAAAAGATTCCTTATGCGTCAGTAGTAGGGATTATGATGTATGCCCAAGTATGTACGCGTCTGGATATTGCGTTCATAGTTGGAATGTTAGGCAGATATTTGAGCAATCCATGGATGGGTTATTGGAAAGTAGCCAAAAGGGTTATGAAGTATTTAAAGAGAACAAAAGAATATATACTCACATATAAGAGATCAGACCAGTTAGAGGTCACTGGATACTCTGACTCAGATTTTGCTGGATGCCAAGATAGAAAAAGATCCACTTCAGGCTATATATACATGTTGGCTGGTGGTGCAGTTTCTTGGCGCAATGCCAAGCAAACTCTTACGACTTTATCCACCATGGTAGAAGAGTTTATAGCATGTTATGAGGCATCAAACCACGGGATTTGGCTGAGGAATCTTGTCACTGAGTTATGAATTATGGAAGGAATTGAAAGACCGCTTAAGTTATACCGTGACAATAAATCAGCCGTTCTATATCCTAACAATAATAGAAGCTCGACCAAGTCAAAACATATTGACAACAAGTTACTAGTTGTTAAGGAAATGGTACAAAGTGGATAGATTTCTATAAAACACTTGGGGACAAACTCCATGATATCATATCCTCTTACAAAAGGTCTTCCATCCAAGGTCTTTCATGAGCACACTGCTTGCATGGGTGTTTTACCGTTAGACGAGTCTTTGGTTTAGTGGGAGTTAGTCAATTGTGGATTTTATGTTCTATATTTTGGTATTATGTATGCATACTATGTTTTTGGATATTTTCCAAATTAATAAAGTTTGATATTCAATAGTTTGCATTTTGTACAATAAAGTTATTGAATGATCTCACTAAAGTAAAGTAGGACCATTTGAAAATCAACATATACAGACCAACTTCATGTGATTTTCATGCTACACATTTCATGATGGATCTATTTCATTTAGTTGTGTCACTATTGGTGATCATTGATGGATTTAGTTATGATTGCTATAACGAAAGTCACTTTGGTTCTGAATAGTGGCATGATTAACAGACAAGATAATTTGGATATGCTTGAAGTATTTAATGGTAAATTTTGAGCTCATAAAGTCTAACACGCATGTAAAGTTACATATGTGACCAGTGGGATATTGTTAAAATTTTGAGTTAAGAATGTAACATTTAACGTCTTAGTGTCATTATTTTAATTAGTCATGACTTAAAGGAGTCTAATTAGTATAATGTTAAGTTTATGGCTAAAAGCATAAATATCATGAAAAATCAGGTTATTGTGTTGATACCATAAGCCGATATTTAATTTGATGAGGGACCAAATTAGAATATTGAATATTAAGAAATAACCCTAAGGTTACTTATAGGGGTTATGGTCCCCATTTGTAGACAACGTGAAAACGGCTCACCAGAAAAAATTATTTCTTTATCCTCGTCAGAAAAGATTCAAAGAGCCATATGGAACTCTACAAATTGGAAGATCAAATATCCGCAAACCTTCGGTGATTCTCAATGGAAAACTCAGGTATGCGTCTGCTTTCATTCTCATAATTGTATTCAGATATGGGTTTAAAGGATTTATTTAGAGTTCTGTTATCGATTTCTATATAATAGAAATTATAAGATTATGAACAGATCTAACATCAATCCTCAATTAATGTGGGACTATTTTAACTAGGTCGAAATAGTTGCCCCGTAGTCGAGGCTAAGGGGCACGATACGAACTTCGAGTTTCCACAAACGACGTCAACGTTTTGGCTAACCTCAAGTTCGTGTTATTACGACTGCAAGGTACTATGTGCTTTGGGTGTAAGAACACTCATAATGTTGTCCTTTAGAAAACTTGCCTTGTTGGATTGAGATGTATGAGTGTTGTATATAAACTACCCTTAGCCTCGATTCTCAAGTAATGTTGGACTATTTTGGCCTTCATGAAACAATTCCCCCTAGTCGAGGTTAAGGGGCGTGGTGGGTACTTCGAGTTCCCCTAAACAAAGTCAATGTTTCAGTCAACTTCAAGTTTGCGCTACTGCGGCTACGATGTATTGTCTGATTTGAGTGTACGAGTGTTGTATATAAACTAACCTAATTAGATGATTCTCAAGTATTGTGAGACTATTTTAGCCATCCTAGAACAAAATGGATCAACACACCCCCCCGAGGGTTGAACTTTGTCCGACATCGGAAAAACAACGACTTCAAGAGACGAATGAGTAATTATGAGTGTCCTCTTCATTTGAAATATTATTTTATAGAAACCAATTCATATAAAAACAAAATAAAAACTAAACCATACCATAAAACACACTTTGAAACGACAAGATAAAGGAAAAATGATCTTTTACCACTCATCAAGTATGTCACACTTTCCCTCTTTGGTGGTGGCCTCCATTAGTAAACACATCTCTTTATATAATTTCTTCTACTTCTTCAACATCGCTATAGAAGACCTAACACCATCAACAAAACTCAAGTCTTCTTAGAATGCCATCGATTTGTTTTTTAAATAAGTTTCCTCTTGAGACAAATCATCAGGAAGATAAACATAAGTTTTAGACCTAATTAGAAAGTGGTTATGACGCCAAAACTTTAGAAATCTATCAAAACGTTTTCAAAAGCACACCGAGTTGCACATCGCATATACTTGCGTGAAAAACCTCTTTGAAAAACATAACCAATAAATAACTATCCTTAAAAAATTTCATACTATTAATATACACCTTGAGCATCTTCCATTCTTCGTACTCTATTTTGCTCTATTTAAGAGAGAGCAAACACAAAGATATAAAACTGAAAATATTTAATTTTTTAAATTTAAATATGCAATCAATCTTTATGAGTAAAAATTCTTTTTTTTTTAGATTCATTGAATGATGAATATATTTAATCTTTTATGTAGACCAGATACATCTAATACTTAATAAACTTAAAAAGATAATATTTATTTATAATAATATAACTTTGTTTGGCTTTAATTCTAATTTATTTTTAAATATTTAATTTTAGTCCTTACAAATATTTGATTTTTGTTTTGGTCCTTAGAAATATACATACACCCTTACATTACTTTCATCTCACACCCTTCCAATACAATAGTCATACACAAATCATTTTAAGCCGAATCACCAAAGAACCTCACTCCAAAGTGAACCTGCAAATCACTCACATTACTCACATGGCCACAACCACAAAGAAAAAACTCCCCCTATTCCCCCTCATCTCTCTCCTCTCCTTCACTTCAATCTTCTACCTTCTCTCCCAATTCAGAAACACTTCCTCCTCCTCCTCAATCAAAGCTTTCTCCTCAATCCACAATTTCCAAATCGACAATAACCGCCACCGCCGCGGCTCGTGCGATTACTCCGATGGGATATGGATCTACGACGAGTCGAGGGTTTCCAGATACGATAGCAATTGTAAGGAAATTTTCAAGGGTTGGAATTGTGTTAAAGGGAATAAAGCTAATGGTGTCGAAGTTGCTAAGTGGCGGTGGAAAAGTAACGGGTGTGGTGAGCTTGATCGGTTTGATCCTCTTCGGTTTCTTCAGACTCATACACACACCAGCATTGGTAAGATTCTTATGTTCTCTCTCTCTCTTTGCTGAAATTTATATAGCATCGATAATGTTGCTGTGTGATACGGATTCGATAATGAGATATTGTTATATTCAATCACTTCTATTTTTCTAAACAGTTAATAGGACTAAATGAACATTCAATTTAAGGGACTAAATTGCTATTTTGGGAACCTGATGGACTAAATTTACCAACTCTTACAATTTGAATGACTGATATGCTGATTTACTCATTTTTAAATTATTATTGGTGTCTTCGTGTTAGTGGAGGTATCATGTCTGGATTTTGTGTTGGTGCTTCATACTTAAAATCAAAATCAAAGCTCTGAGGGCTTTTTGGTATTCTTGATAATGGGTGTGTTTCAGTAATGCAGGTTTTGTTGGGGATTCACTCAATAGGAACATGTTTGTGTCACTTTTCTGCACTCTTAGGAGTAGCATCTCTGATGGACAGGTTAAGAAGTGGAGACCTGCTGGTGCTGACCGTGGATTCACGTTTCTGACGTACAATCTCACTATTGCTTATCACCGTACTAATCTTCTTGCACGTTATGGTAGGTAAGCTAAGCCGAGATTGCTTGTGTTTGTGCTAACTCACTTGTGGGATTTCTTTGACTTGATGTTTGGTTTCAAATTGCTATTACATTGATTATGGATGTTGTGGAAATTGCTGATTAACGTAGTTGCAAATGTGAATCACAATGATTCTTGAGGGCCTCCCAAACCTTTACATTGCTGCTATAGTCATGGTTGCGGACAACAATTTAAAACTATGTTGTATTCACGTAGCTGTTAGTTACTACTACCTCCAATCATTATTATGAGTAAAACAAAAAAACTACTTTCAGAAAGCTTAAGGAATTCAGTTAAATGAAATTAATTTTCTAAGCAAAACATAAGTCACATTTACTAAATTTTCCTTTTTGTATGTAATGGAAAAACTCCATCAAATACCCACATGAAATGCCTTTGAATTAAATGAAGGGGGTAATAGGAATAATAGCATTGAATAGTTTACATCCATTTTTTGATAGTGACCAAAGTTTGAAGCATTTTCTTGCTTATAATAGTGACTAGAGTATGTGATTGCAGAGCTTTCATCCATTTTTTGATTTTTCGTCCAGTATGTATATATGTATTGTGGACATTGCAGAGAGTAGTCCTCCCAAACTTTATATTTCGACTGCAATTGTCGTTGCAGATATCAAATTAAGACTGTGTTGTATGCATGATGCTTTTAGTTACTAAATGATTTCAGAACTTTCACCCATTTTAAGATTTTCTATGCTATGTATATGATTTAGAGGGGGTTGTCTCTCTAGATTGAGGAAGTCACTTAAGAGAGTAAAGTGAGTATAATAGACCATTGATTAACAAATCAAAGGTGGATATTGTAAGTAACATATCAGTTTGTTATCACGAGTTTGTTGAGATGACAATCTTTGATTTCTCACTTTACACTTTACTCACTTTATTGGAGCCAAATTCGATTTAGAGTTAGCAGCTGTATATGTAGGCAATCTAGGTATTTTTTTTATTTGTTACTATTTATGGGGATTTCATGGTTTACATTCTCTTATGTTATATACTATAATTATTGGACTTTACGATGGTGGTGTTTGTTACTCAGTGTTAGCTTAGTTGTGGTTCTTTTTCCTCTGGTTGATTTGATTGCAGATGGTCGGCTAGTGAGAATGGCGGTGCCTTAGAAACACTTGGATTCAAAGAGGGCTATAGAGTAGATGTTGATGTTCCAGATAGTACATGGGTTCAAGCTGCAAATTTCCATGACATTCTAATTTTTAACACTGGCCACTGGTAGGTAATACTGGAGTGTTTGATTGGGAATGTCTTGTGATGTGCGATTACATGAAGTTTTGAGTTTCCTTAAAGATCCATAGGCTAAATATTGATCCCTGTCTGGTTTCATTGATCCCGTTGATTGTTCTTAATATAAGTTGATGTTTGTTGCAATATTTTGAGAAAATTTACGAGAATAACGTTATTTGGTTTTTCTGATTCTGTCTGGGTCATATTAACAGGTGGTGGGCCCCTTCAAAATTCGACCCTGTGAATTCACCTATGCTTTTCTTCAAGAATGGTCAGCCAGTAATCCCCCCATTACGTCCAGATCAAGGCCTTGATATGGTTTTAGAGCACATGGTAATGTCTTTTATTTCTATTCCTTTTAATAGGAACTACTTGGAACTTATAAATTGTTACCAACAGCTCTAGAGTTTACCCGAGCCTGATAGATTAACAGTTACCTAGGTATCATGCTGATCGACCTGACAGTTTTTGCATCTACTGAATTTTACGCATTTGGTTCCATTGTGATTGTTTCCTTGCAATGTATGAAAATAATAATCAGCACACACTAGGGGTGTAAAAGTAATATGAGATTGCATTTCTCTGATTCCTGGATTACTGCTGCAAATGCTGGCTATGAAATTACATGTAATTCAAGTATTTATGTGATTGGTCATTGGTCTAATATAAGGGATTTCTTTACAGAAAGCGTATGTGGAGGAAAAAGCACGACCAGGTGCAGTCAAATTTTTTCGTACTCAATCACCCAGGCATTTTGAAGGAGGAGATTGGGATCAAGGTGGTAGCTGTCAAAGGGACCAGCCTTTATCGGCAGAACAGGTGGGTCTAATTTGCTATTCATCATTTTTTTTCCAAGTATTTCTCTGACTAGAACCGTTATCTATGAGTGACAAATGTGGTTCTTCTAGTAAATGTGATTGCTCTAAAGTTTTTTTTGTTGCTAAATTGTTGAATAAGCTAACTATAGAATTTTATTGCCCCTTTAGGTAGAAGAACTTTTCTCGGTGAAGAATAACGGGACAAATGTGGAGGTTCGATTGGTCAATGAACACCTCAATAAGGCTCTTAAGGGATCGAGTTTTGTTATTTTGAACATCACTTACTTGAGTGAGTTAAGAGCTGATGCTCACCCTGCTTCTGCTGGTGGAAAAAAGCATGATGATTGCATGCACTGGTGTTTACCTGGAATTACAGATACATGGAATGATTTGTTTGTAGAGCATCTGAATAGTATTGAACATAGGAGTTGATAAAGTGATTACTTGTGCTAAATAGAGGGGGGGAAAATGCACTCTCTAAGTGCATTTTTTTTTTGCAGAGCATCTTGTTTAATTGGTTGAATGCAAAATTCATGTGTCTGCAGAGGGTTTTATTGAGATTTTACCCTGAGGTGTAACAAAAATTTATATAGTGGTTTTTCATGTCCAATTTTCATTTTGGACCTATGGTAATGCTTATTATCAACTAACTTGAGTAAGGAAAATTCTTATTTCATCTCACATATTTCAAAGACTCTTTAAATTTCTCATTTTAACATTTTTAACCGGATTTCTCCATAAGTATTTATATCGAAAGGGTTCTTCTAATTGATAGGAATCTCTCTCTAAACTAGCTTAAATAGCAAATGAAATGTAGTTTTTTTACAAGAAGATTCTTTTAAATAAATCAAAATGAAATTTAAAAGGTCTTTAAATATTTAAGAGATGGAATGTGAATTTCCATGGACATTATTCATTCTTACACCATATGCCGTACTCACACGACTTGGTGAAATTTCAAAACTACCCATAGAATTTGAAATTTGAAACTCGGTCGCACCAAATACACAACAAACTTTTTATGAATCAAGTTAAATCACAGGTAAGTGAATATTTGAGTTTTAAAATTTGGATCAACATCATAAAGAAATTGAAATTCGAATTCGAATGCACCTCAATAGGTCACCCCAAACCAAATCTCAGAATCAGAGAAAACCAAAATTAAAGGGTTTGTCGGGATTTCAAAATTTGAAATCTACTTTGTTATCACAAAATCTGAAATAATTTTAAATAGAGAATGAAGAAAATTATAAGTTAACATAGATCTTTGTTGTCACACCAAAAAAAAAACTTAACATGGACATTTGTTAACTTAAATCTAACATGATATTTCATCACCAACAAATGGCTCATGACGTTTCAACATCTTCAAAATATCATTGGTCGATACTGTAATTGTCGCATCCACTTTGATTGGATCCTTAATTGTTCAACACTGAAATGTACTTTGCATAACATTTACATATGTATCTATCTTCAGTTCAAACTTACTGAGCTTCATCTTCTCTTCGTTACCAATCGAGGGTGAGTGATACTCAATCTTAACCACTCTTCGATTGTTTGAGTAGTGTAAGAGATTCTCCATTTTGGATTTTCATAAGTGGAAGCTTGTACTTGTTAGTCTTGTATGTTGAATCAATTATAATCACAATGAAAAATATGTTGAACAACTTGCTGAAATTAGGATGAGTAAAAAATATATCTCAAACAATTTTCCTATTCTCAATCACTTTGTATCTAGATACATGATCATCATCAAAGAACTTCAACAATTGTTGCATATCATATCTTAATTCTCTTTTTTCCTTGTGGTTTCAGGTGCGAACATTGTAAACTTACTTAATATTTGAAACACTTTCGAGCCTTTTTCTTTTTGTTCTAGACTGACCCAATGACTAGAATTGACCCAATCCACTTCTACCTTTTGCATTGCCTAACAACACTGACCCATTAGCTCTGGACTACCAGTCGGGCATTCCTGGTCGACCACGCCCCTTGAGCAGCAAGGCTAGCGATGCCCAAGACACACTCCTGTCCATGCAGGCAACTACCTTTCAGTCTGCTCGACGAACCTAGAGTAGACAACCAGGAAATACTCATAAATGCTTCTGCTCGTATTCTCTTTTGTGCTTGGTGCAACGGCTAGTTACGGGCACGACTGCCCATTTTGACAAAGTCCTGACAATTACCTATTTTTGAGGAACCTAATATCTAGACTAAAAAATAGGAACCAATGGCCAAGCATTGGGGGCATTATATAAATCATCACACTTGTGAGCGCCAGCTATCCAATATTCACTCTAAAACCCTAATATCTTTCTTGTATCTCTTTACACCCAATCTTACTTGATCTTCGGAGGGCCTTACAGGCACACCCCTTTCTCTCGATAAATTTCTAGTCAAACAGACTTCATCTCTTCGGCCCACCTCAGGTTCTGATCAACCGACAAGATCAGTGACACCGTCTGTGAGAACCTATCTTTTCTGTCTTCCTTTTCCTCAAAATCGAAGACCAAAGATACTTTCACTACTTTTGTCATGGCCGACCATGCTGACCACCACCTTTCTAGAAATACTATACTCTTTCTCATCCACAAGACAGACAGAAGCCAAGAATATCTTCATCTATAGGATGTCCCCGATGTCAGGGTGGCCGAACAGCGTCCCCAGATTCGATCGATGTTGAACGCGACAACCTCCAGTTCTTGGACGATCAGAGATCCAAGAACCCCAACACGGAACTTCCAGCAATCCTCTAGTCAGTTCCTATCTCACCAAATGCCAACTCGATTATGGCAGCACTACTCGGTGCCCTCAATCAAACCAATACGCTAATCCTGCAACAGAGCAAGAGGATTGGGGCATGGGAGAAGAAGAGATCAAAGTCTCTTCCTCGGACACACCGACGTTATGACTCCCGCAGTCCATCACCACCAAGGCGTGATCGTATTTCCATACGAGAGAGGCAAGAAGTGTCTTTCCTCAAGAAACGAGGTCGCACACCTCCCTGGATAAATCGACGCTCCCCGATATCCAAGAAAACTAAGAGCGGACAGAGGCTTGATCGTGACCGTTCTCCGTCGCCCAAGTCGAGGCAGCATCTAAGAAACACCTCTCCTCGCTGGGGCGGCAGCCCCCGACGAGGAAGAAACAACTATTCTCCGCCAGCATCTCCTGATCATAGAAATAACGATGAGCCCCGCGACCCGTTATCCAGAGAGATCATGGAGACCTGCTTCCTATCGGTCTTGAGAAACCCCCACACTTGGGGACATACGATGGTGTTGTACCCCAAAATTTGCCCTCCCATTTCCTCAACATTTTTCTCATCACAAGACCTTTGAAGATCAAGATCCAGTTAGGTTTCCTCTGCTCAAGACTTCTCCTTGCACTGTGGACTCAAATTAGGGTTTGTGTTTGCCTAAGGATGTTTTGACCCAAAAAGCCTAGGATGACTTTCATGCTTCATGTTGGACTCCCAAGTTTACCCAGGCCAAGTTTCAAGTCTTGATTCCAAGTTTTACCCAGTCAATTGGACAGTTGACCTAGAAATCAGCTGTATTGGGGAAAAAGTCAACTATGGCCAATTGACAGTCAAACCTCATGAAATTTGATCCACATCAACATTATGAACTCACATGAACCATTTGATCAAGTTTGGATCACAATTCCACAAGAAATTTGATCAGATCACCAAAAGGGCAAAATGGTCATTTTTAGGGTTTTGACTGCACAAAGGCAATTTTTGACTGTTTGACCTAGCCAATGGCAAATCAAGCTCACATATGGACTCAAGGACTCAATGGAATTATCTTGACACATTCATCAAGCTCAAAAGATCCCAAGTACACAAGATTGACAGTTGAATTTCCCAGTCAATTGATCAATTTTGACTGTATACTGAAAAGTCAAACTTTGACTTTTTGGTCAAAATCAAGAGTCAAGATTCATTTTTCATCAAAACATGCCAAATCATGAAACTTGTTCACCAAGAAATCACAAAATGCAAATTAGGGTTTGAAAATGGAATTTTTCATAACTTAGAATTTTTCTAAGTTATAAAAAACCCTAATTTTTTCCCAACTTTGCCCCATCTTTTCACCATGATACATTTGGATTCAAACAAAAGTCAAAACATGAAAGTTGTAGCTTGTTGCATAATCTACAACTTTGATTCACAAAGTTTTCTCATTTGAAGCTTGTATCTCAAGTTATAATTTTTTGAATAAGGGCACTAAACCATCTTTTAACTTAGTGAAATTTGACCTATTTTGACAAGGTTTTCTACCCTACTTCAAGGCCACTTTTCATACCCTTCCACTTGTAATTTTGATTTGCATTTCAAATATGGATTGTAGTACACATTCCAAGCTTTCCAAAATGTCCAAGAACTCATCAAACAACCTCATAACTTGAGAGATTCGAATTTCACAAGTTGGCAAAAATCCACTTTTGTTCTTCATCCAAACATGTTCACAAACTTGCAAATTTGGATTCAGTTTGCTTTATGCTTAATTACAGGTCCTTGAACCATTCCATACTCAATAATTTAATGCATATTCACTGAGTTGAGGCCATGTTCTTTGTGTTCTAACATTGCATAATGGATTAATCCTAAACTAGATAAAGTGCTTTATCCATTTTTGTAAAAAGCTAGCTTTATGTCAATTTGAAATCCAAGCAAGTACAAGCAAAATCCTCTTGGCACAAGATTATGGACAAGTTGCTCTGATCAAGAGAAGATTATGCAGCAGGATTAGAGGCCCCTACTGACCTAAAAACAAAAGTGACCATTGCTTGCTTCATTTTCAAGTAACATTGCATAACTTATCACATATCTCATCTCAGCTTAGAAACAGAAGAGAGAAGTGATCAAACACATTCCATAGACCACATTCAAGCTTTGGCACGAGTCCTGAACATCTAAAGCACCCTCCATCTCAAAATCACCTTGAAACTGCTCAAACAGGGGAACCCCTGCAGTTTGAGTGCAAACTCCCAATCCCTTCGAGCATTTTGATCCAAACCTTTTCCTCTACCTTCCCTACAACATATGCAAGCTAACCATGTCCTAAAATCAGACCTGTAACACCTCCAAGCCACTTCACCATTTTCAATTTTCTGTTTTGCAGTTGGAGTTCACTAGCTCGACTCAGGGAGTTTCAAGACAAAGTAGGAATTGGAAAAGCATCCTTACACTTCAAGGAAGCTGTACAAGTCATCATTTCACTCTGAAACATCCTCCATTGCCAAGCTCGATTCCAACTGAACAGGTATATTCATGGAGTTCTATCTCTCTTATTAGGCATTGTTAGCTTTAGGTTTTTTGAAGAAAACATGTCACAATCATAGCCCTGAACATGCTCATATGATTAGATTTCATTTATGTTTCGTGTGCTTAGAGAATTTCATGTCTGAACATTGATGAAAAG